TAACAAAGCCCTACTGAAAACAAAAAGGAAGGGGCTGGAGAGATGGCTCAGAGGTTAAGAGCACTGGCTGCCCTTCCAGAGGTCCTGAGTTCAATTCCCAGCAACCACATGGTGGCTCACAACCATCTGTACTGAGGTCTGGCGCCCTTCTCTGGCATGCGGGCATACATCAAGGCGTATGTTGCATACATAATAAATAAATCTTTAAAAAAAAAAAGAAACAAAAAGGAAGAAGAGGAAAAAAGGAAGAAAAAGAAAAATGATCCAGGTGCAGAGGCTCATCTCTTCCATGCCCGTGATCCTCGTAGGGGAGCAGCAAATGCAAGACCAGCCTGGGCTACAGAGTGAGTTCTAGCCTGGGGTAAAGAGGGAGGCCACATCTCAAAACCCCAAAACTTACAAAAAAGAGAGAGAGAGAGAGAGAGAGAGAGATAAAGAGAGAAAGAAGGAAACTTTTCTACAGTACTATATAGATTTGGGAATAAAGATAGATGGCCTATTCCCCTTTCAAACAAACATACATATAAATAATATATATGACAGGATATCAGTCTATACATTATCCATTATTATAAAATGTAATCAAAAATATGTATACAGCTTTCTTTCTTTTTTTCTTTCTTTTTGGTTTTTCAAGAGAGGATTTCTTGTGTGGCCCTGGCTGTCCTGGAACTTGATATGTAGACCACGTTGGTCTTGAACTCAGAACTCGAAGATCTGCCTGCCTCTGCCTCCTAAGTGCTAGGATTCATGGTCCATGCCACCGCCTGGCTGTTGAGTTTTATTTCTGTAAGCATAGAAACAGAATGAATGCCACATAAACTAAGACCTACTAGGGTCCTGCCCTGATGAGATACTAGTGTTTCAGTCTCTGAAATGGTCTCTTCAGGTCCAAGAGGACGTGAATCTTTCTCTAGCTCCAACATTCCATCAGAGAAGCTAAGCACAGAACTCTGGAAGAACAAAAATGTCCAGAATGGGTTGGAAGTTCCCCTGCTAAAGTTCTTCTCCAGCTCTGTGTGCCACGAGACACCAAGAAACTGCCAAGGATATTCTCTGGCAAAGGGGCGGGACATCTCTCTCCAGGCTGTCTGTTCACTCAACCATAGCTTAGCTTCTCAGGCAGCCAGGGGTTAATCATAAAGACTCCAGGAATCCTTGCTGAGCCTGGCTATCTGCAGGGTTCCAAGTATCCGCTCAAAAGGCAAGACCCAAAGAATCACAGAGCTCCCTGCCTTAATCCCAAAGTATGTTATCTCCCCAAATTCCTCTGCCAGGATGGGTGGAGTAGGGTAGGGTCTCCAGTCTAGAAACAAACTCAATTCTTGATGAGCCTGGAGTCCTCTCGGAATACCTGTGACTTGGGCTATCTGGTTTGTGTAAAAAGGGAGGTGGAATGGGGGTAGGGGAAGACACAAGTAGCCAAAGTGATAAAATAATCTTGTGGGGAATGAGCCTAGGGACAAGGTGTGGGATGACACACTGTCCCCAAGAACATCGGCACATCAGCAGACAGTCAAACTAACTTCATTTCACAAGACACAAACTCGCAAAGTTGACTGTTCTTATTCCGCCGGCCGTCTCCAGCCTCACAAACCCTGGATCTAAAGTCCTTCAACTCCAGAACCAGGTGCGAAAAGGCAGGGAAAGAAGGGGCAGAAGCTGAGGCGCTGAAGGGGGAGAGAGGAATCTCGTTCCCCTCTTAAAGGAGAATGCTTAAACCAAGGGCACTCCCGGACCCCTCGGAAAAGAAGGAGCAAGATTCCCCAAAAGCATTTTCCTACCTTCTTGTTGTTCTTGTTATACCCAAAAGTTGAAATCCCAGGCCTGGAAGTCACTGATAGCAGCATGTTTTCTTTACTGTTAGAGAACTAAGAGAAAGGAGAGAAGGAAAGGGAGGGGGTGGAGAGGGAGGGAGGAGGGGGGGAAAGGAGAGGGAGAGAGGAAGGGAGGGAAAGAGGGAGGGAAAGGGAGAAGGGAGGGGGAGGAGAAAGGGGAGAAAAGGAGCGAGAGAGAGAGAGAGAGAGAGAGAGAGAGAGAGGGAGGGGGGCTGCGGGGAAGAACGAGCTAGGTCTGCCTCGCGTCGCTGACAGAAGTTAACCGAGAGTCAGGACAAGCCACGTCCACTGGGTCCTAATGCCCAGGATGTTCTAGTCTGGTTTGTTTTCCTTAGGCTTAGTAGTTGGAGCTAGAGAGAAGAGTTCCTAGGTCTAGTCCTTGTCAAATGCAGACCCATTCCCTCAAGAACAAGTTCTGATTACCGCAAAAAGACAATTATCCTACTATCAATAAAAGACAACGATTTTTGTTGTTGTTTTGATTTGATCTGAAACTTTCTTTCCCTCAAATCTCAGCTATAAGATTTCAAGCTCGGCCTACAAGATGGCTTGGTGGTAAAGGTTGCCAAGCCTAAGTTAGGTCCTCAGATCTACCAGGTAGAAGGAGAGGAACAAAATTGTTCTCTGACCCCCACAAGCACGCACTGTGGCACGGCATTCAAAATAAATGTAATTTTTTTTTTAAGATTTCAAGTCTGATGTAAAAGGACCCACTCTGCCTCCCAGAGCATGTATAGAAAACTATACTGAGATACAGTGTGTGAGAAGAGCTTGGAGCTCAAACTACTTTATATTCAGGCTGATTTTTGTTTTGTTTTTGTTTTTCGAGACAGGGTTTCTCTGTAGCTTTGGAGCCTGTCCTAGAACTAGCTCTTGTAGACCAGGCTAGCCTCAAACTCACAGAGATCCGCCTGCCTCTGCCTCCCGAGTGCTGGGATTAAAGGCGTGCGCCACTACCGCCTGACTATTTAGACTGTTCTTAACATGTTAAGAAAGAACATGGAGGCTGGAGAGAGGGCTTAGGGGCTAAGAGCATTTGCTGCTCTTCCAGAGGACCTAGCTCACACCTGGCAGGCATCTGTATCAGGTGGTTTATGATCACCTCTATTGCTCCAGCTTTCACGTGCTCGCTCTCTCTCTCTCTCTCTCTCTCTCACACACACACACACACACACACACACTGTCACATTCTGTCATAGTCTCTCACCCTCTCTCACTCACTCACTCTCTCATACACACAATTTTTTTAAAGGTAAAAATGAACTTTTGGCAGTCTTATGTACATTGGTGTTTGGCCTGCATGTGTGTCGGACAGGTGAGGCTGTCAGATCCCCTGGAACCACAATTACAGACAGGTGTGAGCCCCGTGTGGTACTGGGACTGAACCCGGGTCCTCTGGAAGATCCGCCTCTTAACCACCGAGCCAGTCTCCAGCCCAGAAAATGAATCTTAAAAAAGCAAATAAATAAATAATAATAATAGTGAAAACGCAAGCTCATGGCCTGGAAATGGAGATGCGCCCTGTAAAGCTGTAACCGCAGCACACACAAAGGACAACCGACCAAGTCTGAGGCCAGAGGCTAGCCTGATCTTCAGAACAGTAGGCTAGCCGAGGCTGGAGAGATGGAGGACACACCAAAGAGAGTGAGGCAGGAGGATCACAAGTGCAGTCCGGCCTAGGCTCTGGGTTACACTTTTCTTTCCTCTTTCTACTGCCCCCCCCTTTCTTTTTTGGATGATGGTTCAACTGGTAAAGGTGTCCAAGATCAGGATTCAGTTGTTGGCACTACATGGTTAAAGGGAGAACCCAGTCCCAGAAGTTGTTCTCTGACCTGCACACACATACACACGCTGTGGCATGCACAGCCCAACACTCACACACACACACACACACATACACGCACACACACACAAACACACACACACAGACACACACACAAAACGTAGTAAGCAGAACGAAGGTGAAAGCACAAAGAGCAGACACGAATTAGCTCTGTGACAGGAAAGACAGGCTGACGTCAGCTCTCCCACTTCAGAGTCTCAGCAAGGAAGGCGCCCTGAGCCAGACACGGTGACTCTTTCGTGCCTTCAGTCACAGCAAAACCAAAATAATAAATAAATCAATAAGTAAATAAATAAAAGCCATCCATCAGAACAATTTCACAAAGCTCAGGGCTTGGTGATTATTGAACAAGTAGAAGCCTTTTATTTTCTTGTCATTGTACTTATCTACTTTTGGTCATAGCAGGGATCAAAACCAAAGGCTCCATTCAGTACGCTCAGCACTCTACGACTCCCTAAGCTATACAAAGTAACGTCTTCAGCCCAAGAAGAGCTATCTTATTTATTATCTATTTAACTATTTATGTAAGGTGGGGCCTCATCTGCAGCTCTCACTGACCTAAAACTCATTATCCCCCCCTGCCTTAGTGCCTTAGTGCAGGCCTACTAGCGTAGACACGCTCAAGAGTGCCTTGTTTTGGGCCGGGCAATGGTGGCGCACACCTTTAATCCCAGCACTCAGGAGGCAGAGGCAGGCGGATCTCTGTGAGTTCGAGACCAGCCTGGTCTACAAGAGCTAGTTCCAGGACAGGCTCCAAAGCCACAGCGAAACCCTGTTTCGAAAAACCAAAAAAAAAAAGAGTGCCTTGTTTTGTGTGTTTGTTTGTTTGGTTTGGTTGTTTGGTTTGATGATGCCAGGTGACCTAGCGCTCTGCCACGGAGCCACATTTCCAGCCCCCAGCTTATACTTGATGCTTCTTTTTAAAGTTAGCTTTATTTAAATCACGTGTATTATATATCACGTGTGTTCCTGGTGCCTATGGAGGTCAGAAGGGGGCATCAGATGCCCTAAAACTTCAGTCACAGATGTTTGTGATCTACCATGTGGGTGCTGGGAACCAAGCCTTGGTCCTCTGTATTAGCTCTTAACCACCGAATCAACTCTCCAGCCCTGCTTGATACTTTAAATACATGGTCTCAAGTAGCCCAAGCTGTGGCTGGGCTCCACACAGCCAGAAATGATGAACTCCTAAACCTCATGCCTGCTTTCCTGATGGCTAGGCCACAGATTAGACCACCGTGCCCTATGCTTCGACTTTTCATTCTATTATCCCCTTAGCCCTTAAAACCCCTGAAGCTTAATCAAGTAGAAAAACTCACCAGGTGTGGAATTTCTCGCCACGCTGAATGAAGTTCGCAGAGTTAGGATATCGTCTCTGAGCTGTCAAAGAAACAAACCATAACTCTTTTAAAACGCTCACAGACGTCTCACAAAGGAGGAGGAGATGAGACTTTTTGGGAAAGAAGAATAGAACGCAAGAGACAGGAATCCCACGCAGTCGCAGTAAACTCACCTCCAGTCTGACCTCGAAGGAACAGTTGTAGCAAGAAAAGAAAACTTAGGAATGACCCACAGAAGTCCACCCATCTGCCCAGAACAGGGAGGGAGACTGCCGGGCCTCAGAGCCCCTCCTCAGTGCTCCTGGCTGCCATCGCACACGCTCCAAAAGACCTTAAACCCAAACCCTCTCTGAAATGAAGCTCTGCTTTCTGGTTTTCCCGTCACTGTTTTGCTGTGATAACGGAACAGACAGCGCCAGCATTCTGCAGAGCAAACATATGAGGAGCTATCCCCAACTCTGCTTTCATTTACAACAGGACAGGAAGCGCCTGCTCAACTCAAGGGACACAGGAAGGGTGGGGACAGCCTCAACGTGGGAATCGTGGGAATGGCCACTGAGCATGGAAATGGGAGTTCAGCACAGCACAAAAGTAAATAACAGCATCTCTTGGGGACACCACATTTTTTAAGAACTTCCTTTTCCACCCTCAGAAGTTGTCATTCACCATATCCTGACCCATCTATCTAAATATCTAAATGATATTAACTGGTATCTCACCATGGCAGGGCTATTACACAGAAAAACCCCATCTCAAAAAAAAAGTAATGATAATAAATTGGTTTGTTGGTGTATTTGTGTGTGTCTGTATGGTTTTGTTGTTGTCGCTGTTGCTGTTGTTGCCCCAGACAGGGTTTCTCTGTGTACACCTGGCTGTTCCAGAATTTGCTCTGGAGACCAGGCTGGTCTCAAACTCACAGTTCTGCCTCCCTCTGCCTCCCAAGTGCTGGGATTAAAGGCGGACACCTCCCCCACCCCCCATTGTCTAATCTTTAAAAAGTAGAATTGTCTTATTCTCTTCTGAGTCAAGTCTCACTATGCAGTGTCCACTGGCCCCAAACTCAATGATGCATTGATACATAAAAACATCAATATAGGGGCTGGAGAGATGGCTCAGTGGTTAAGAGCACCGGCTGCTCTTCCAGAGGTCATGAGTTCAATTCCCAGCAACCACATGGTGGCTCACAACCATCTGTAATGAGATCTGGTGCCCTCTTCTAGTGTGTGGGCAGACATGGAGGCAGAATGTTGTATACACAATAAATAAATAAATTAAAAAAAACCCATCAATATATATATACCAACATTGGCCAGTGTTTTTATGTGTATACACTGTATAATGTTTATATCGGGTTAAACATCTGTCCCTTCTAACACTTATCATTTGTGATGAAAACATTCATTTTTTTTGTCTTCCTAGAGGCAGGATTTTTTTCTTTTTTCTATTTTTTTAAATTGATATTTATTGAGCTCTACATTTTTCTCTGCTCCTCTCCCTGTCTCTCTCCTCCCCCTTTAATCCTCCCCTGAGGTCCTCAAGCTCCCAATTCACTCAGGAGATCTTGTCTTTTTATACTTTCTACTTCCCATGTAGATTAGATCTATGTAAGTCTCTCTTATTGTCTGCATTGTTGTCTAAATTCTCTGGGATTGTGGTTTGTAGGTTGGCTTTCTTTGCTTTATGTTTTAAAACCACCTATGAGTGAGTACATGTGATAATTGTCTTTCTGTGTTTGTGTTACCGCATAATGTTTTCTTGTTCCATCCATTTTCCTGTAAAATTCAAGCTGTCGTTATTTGTTCCTGCTGTGTAGTACTCCACTGTGTAAATGTACCGCATTTTGGGGCAGGGTTTTGTTTACAATTTAGTCCAGTCCCTCTACTAGCCCTGAGAGAACTACCTCCCGTGTTTGAAACCTTAAAAGATTTACTTTTATTTGTGTGTGTGTGTGTGTGTGTGTGTGCACATTCAAATTCCATAGTGTGCTTGTGGTCACAGAAGGACTCTCAAGCAGTTCCCGGAGCTACTTCCCTCCAGCTACCTTGGGCGGGGTATGGAACTCGGGTCCCAGACCCATGCTCAGGTGCCTCCACCTACTAACAAAACAGTCTTTACATTTTTAAAACAGTCCCTTGTACCTCAGACTTGTGAAATGGAGTAAATAGTTACCTATTTCTTAGCATTTTAAGTGAAACAAGTCCTTCCTATGCAGCCTGTAGGAAGAGGACACTTAGGGAACACCCAGCTGTTATCGTGATTAGTTACTGTCTCCCAGCGTGCACCCCTTTGAGTGTCATGTGACCAACATGGAAGATCTTAAGAGAACATTTTTTGGAAACCAGTGCCTTAGTTGCATTCAAGATTACACTATACTAGCCGGGCGATGGTGGCGCACGCCTTTAATCCCAGCACTCGGGAGGCAGAGGTAGGCGGATCTCTGTGAGTTCGAGACCAGCCTGGTCTATAGAGCTAGTTCCAGGACAGGCTCCAAAGCCACAGAGAAACCCTATCTCGAAAAACAAAACAAAACAAAAAAAAAAAAAGATTACACTATACTATAGGGGGCTGGAGAGATGGCTCAGCAGTTAAGAGCATTGCCTGCTCTTCCAAAGGTCCTGAGTTCAATTCCCAGCAACCACATGGTGGCTCACAACCATCTGTAATGAGGTCTGGTGCCCTCTTCTGGCCTTCAGGCATACACGCAGAAAGAATATTTTAATACATAATAAATAAATATTAAAAAAAAAAAGCTTGACCCCCCGGCCATTTTATTTCTCCTTTGGATGCTGTCTTAAATCCTAGGCAGCATTCCACTCTACACAGCCACACTTTTTCTCTGTGGGGAGACTTTCTCCCCCAGAGCAGCTGCTGATGGGTCTGCCTGCTTTCTTGGACCCTAACTCAAAAGGCGTTCTTTCTCTCTCTTTAATTCACCTCCTCCTCTTGGCCTCTGCCAAGACTGATAGTTTGACTGCCCCGTTTTTTGTTTTGTTTTGTTTTGTTTTTTTCCTTTCAAACTCTGATAAAAAAAAAAACAGTTCTGGAACTTCAAAAGGAACATTTTAAAAATGGGGGGAAAAATTTAAAACAAGGCATGGTGGCACACACCTGTGATCCCAGCACCCAGGAGCATCTGAAGCTCAAGGTTATCCTCAGCTACCTGGTGAGCGTGAGGCCATCCTGGGCTATAGAACCAACTCAGAAAGGAGGGAGAGACAACAGATAAGTCTTGACTCACATAAAAGTCATACTTCCCCTGATATACTATTACATTTTTATAGTCTATCCAATAAATTTAGGGCTGCAGAAACAGAATGTCCCAGATACACACATGATAGAAAAGTTAGGTCAAAGAGCACGGACAACACTAACTAGAGACTGCAATTCGGTGAGTACACACACCTTTTGGGGTGCTGGATGTCTAACCCAAGTCCGGCAGAGTGCGTCTGCCTGTGACCTTCATCCCCGGTTTTGTGAGGGGAAGGGGAAGGCAGCAGTGTGCTAGGGTTCTGCTCGGGAGGGTCAGGGAGAACCCTAACCCTCCAGAATGGCTCCTGCCTTTCTGTTTCCTTCGTTAGATTGTTCACGCCTTTCTACATCTGGCCAATTTCTAATAATTAGGTCCCATGAGTCCAGCATTAGGTTCTTTTGGTTTTGTTTGGTTTTCTTGAGAGGGGCTCTCTCTATGTTGCTCAGCTTGATTCCTAACTCCTAACTATTCTCCTGAGGAGGTAGGATGGCAGGCAACGCCACTGAGTTGTTTTGGGAGGGAGTAGAAATTATTTGTAATATCTTCTAGGAAAAGAGACATTTACACCTTCTGATTTCGAAGCGACTAGTTTGGAACTTCTCTAGAATGTGCACTGGATGAAACACACTCACCCTTGCTGGATATGCTAACGCACACGCTTCAAGCATTTGGGAGGCAGAGGCAGGAAGATCTTTGTTGGGTTTGAGACTACGTAGTGAGAGCCAAGACTGCCAGGGCTACAAAGTAGGATTCCATTTTCAATACCACCACCCCCCAAAAAAACCAAAAAAGCCAATTTTTATTTTTGTGACTGTGTGTATGCCGGCCAAAGCCGTAAGAGGGTGTTAAACTTCCTGCAGCTGGGGTTTCAAGAAACAATGTAGGCACTGGGAGTCATACTCGGGGCCTCTGGAGAAACAGCAAACACGCCTAGCCTCTGAGACTCATCTCTCCGGAACACCTTTTTTGTTTTTTTGTTTTTTCTTTTAAACACACGGTCTCAGTCTCACAATGTTGCCCAGATTTTCCTGGAGGTTAGTTTCTGAAAAACGCAACACGGTTTGGCTGTAGTTACACAGGCCTGGAATCCCAGCCCTTGAGATGTAGAGGTAAAAGGATTTGGATTCAGAACTGGAGAATAGTCTCAATTACATAATGAATTTGTGGCCAGCCTAGAGTACACGAGACCCCCTGACCCCGACACACAGGGATAGCCTTACCGTGAATGACAACGCTCGTGAAATTTCCACCACTCAACGCTGAAGCAGGACAACTGCATGAGTTCTTCTCGGTCACACAGTAAGATCCTGTCTCAAAACAAAACAATGCAAAATATACTACCAAGTAAGAATCCCAAGCATTTAGAGATAGATGAACTTCGCCTGTCTGAGGGAAGATGCCTGTTATGCCATTGTTGTTCCCTCCCAATCAGGGTGGAGAACTGAGAACCTGCAGAAGTGATGGACTCTAGCCTGTGTGTGTGTATCCTTGAAGGCAGGAAGCCCGGCCAGCACGCAGGTGATGGTCTCAGCATGCTCAGCACCGGGGGAATAAGATCTATCAAAACCAAGGACACACCCCCAACACACCCCATTCCAGATAGAAAAACTCGTTCTGTTGACTAACGTGTCTGCCGCAAGTATTCTCTAACGGAAATCATCTAAAACATTGAATTTTTCTCCTCAAAAAGAGAAGAGAAAAAGCAGGGTTAGAAGAAAACAGAAAAAAGAAGGCTGAGGATATAGCTGGTAAGACACTTGCCTATCATGACTGAAGCTCTGGGCTTGAGCCTCAGCACCATGTAAAACAGGTCTGGCGGCACCCAGGCACCCACGTGTGTTCCCTGCACTTGGGAGGAAGGAGGATCAGGAGTTCAAGGCCATCTTCCTCTACCATCCTCAAAGAAGTCTGGATTATGTGAGACTGTCTCGAACAACAGGAAAGAGAAGTGTTTGCCTAAGCACATATGTGTGCACACAGTGTGTAACACTTGTCTGCCTCACACCCACGAAGAGAGGCAGAGATCCCCTGGAACAGACTTACAAGCTACCTTGTGGCTGCTGAGAACTGAACTTGGGGCCTGCATAAAAGCAGCCAGAGCTCTTACCTATTGAGTCATCTCTCCGGGCCCCCTTCACCTCCTGCCCAGCTTTTTGAGACAGGGCTTTACTATAGAACACTGACTGGTTTAGGAGTTACTATGTAGACTAGATTGGCCTAGACTCACAGAGATCTGCTTGCCTCTGCTCCCCAAATGCTGGGGTAAAGGCATGTGCTACTATATCCAACTTGTTTTTTTTTTAAGTTACCATGCATAGATTTTTTTTAAGGTTTATTTATTTATTATGTATACAGTGTTCTGCCTGTCAGAAGAGGGCACCAGATCTCATTACAGTCATCACATGGATGCTGGGAACTGAACTCAGGACCTCTGGAAGAGCAGTCAGTGCTCTTAACTTCTGAGCCATCTCCCAACCCCTCCCTCCTTTTTTCTTTTTCTTTCTTTGTTTTCTTCCTTCTTTCTTTCTTTCTTTCTTTCTTTCTTTCTTCTTTTTGGTTTTTCAAGATAGGGTTTTGCTGTAGGTTTGGAGCCTATCCTAAAGCTCACACTGTAGACCAGACTGTAGTGGAATTTCATTTGTATTTTAATAAATAAAGCTTGCCTGAAGATCGGAAAAGTAAAACAGCCACACTGGCCAGCCTTACAGAGCAGGCAGCAATGACACACACCTTTAATCCCAGGAGCCACACTAGCGTGCCATAGAAACCAGTGGTGCACGCCCTTAATCCCAGAACTAGAGAGGATTATAAAATGGGAGGAGACAGCTCTCAGACACAGTCTCATTCTAAGATTCCTGCAGACAGGATCACCATTTTGGACTGAGGAGAGATAAGAGCCAGTGGCTGTCTGTTTTGCCTTTTCTGACCTTCAGGTTGAACCCCAATTTCCTTTTTTTTTTTTTTTAAGATAAGGTCGCCTGCAGCTCAGGCTGGCCTTAAAAAATTCACTATGTATCTAAGGATGAACGAGCTCTCAGGCATACGTCAGTGAAGGACCTAAGACTGCATTCTATGCATTCTCAGAACCATCTACATTGGTGATACGGGTCTATTCATGTGTTTACTTCACACCTGAGACATTAATTTTTGTCTAGCCCTAACTATCTCTAAAACAACTCACATGATCCCATCAGGGGTATCAACTTCAATTCAACTACCAGGTTTCACCAAATTAAACTACTATATATAATTTTTTTCAATATTTTTATCATTGAATAATAATTTCACATGGTTACACTAGCATACAGCAGTAAGTGTAAAGCCATGAGGATGGCAATGAGCCAGAACACTGAGGGCTGGGGTGCAGTTCAATGGTGCATTTGCCTAGCACGCACAGGACCTGGGTTCAATCCGCAGTGTGCCCGGAGATACAGCAAAGAAAAAAACTATTAACTTGAAGTAGCCTTAACAATACCTGTATAAAACTGTCAAATAATAACAACAAAAATTTGCTAGGGGCCATGGCAAACAAACAAACATCCACAGGCTCCAGAACATGGGCTTCAGGTGTGTGTGTCCACGCCAGCTCGGAATCTGGAATTTCCGACCTTCAGTTCTACACTGTCTGCTTATGGTGAGCACATGCCACCACACCTGCCTCTGCTTTTGTTCTTTAAAAGGAAGGGTCTTCCATAGTCCTGCCTGGCCTCAGGGTGGCTGTGGAGGATGACTTTGAACTTTGATTCTGTCTCTGCATCCCAAGGGCAGGCCTTACAGGAGCGAGGCGCCACAGGCTAGACAGGACCCAGTTTCTCAGCTAGGCCTCCTCGGTCCCGAGTTTTATGTGATAAAACACAGCAACTTGCGGGGAGCAAAGGGTTTATTAGGCTCATCCTTTGTCCCAGTCAGGGTTTCTTTTTTTTTCTTTTTTTCTTTTTTTTTTAAAAATATTTATTTATTTATTATGTATACAATATTCTGTCTGTGTGTATGCTTGCAGGCCAGAAGAGGGCATCAGACCACATTACAGATGGTTGTGAGCCACCATGTGGTTGCTGGGACTTGAACTCAGGACCTTTGGTAGAGCAGGCAATGCTCTTAACCTCTGAGCCATCTCTCCAGCCCCCCCAGTCAGGGTTTCTATTGCTGCAAGGAAACGCCATGACCAAAGCAAGATGAGGAGGACAGGGTTTGTTTGGCTTACACTGTCACACTGCTATCCATCACGGGAGGAAGTCAGGGCAGGGACCTGGAGGCGGGAGCTGATGCGGAGACAACGGAGGAGTGCTGCTTACTGGCTTGCTTCCCCTGGCTTGCTCATCCTGCTTTCTTTCTTTCTTTCTTTCTTTGTGTGTGTGTGTGTGTGTGTGTGTGTGTTTTGTTGTTGTTTATTTGTTTGTTTTTCGAGACAGGGTTTCTCTGTGTAGCCTGGCTGTCCTGGAACTCACTCTGTAGACCAGGCTGGGCCTCAAACTCACAAAGATCCGCCTGCCTCTGCCTCTGAAGTCCTAGGATTAAAGGCCTGCACCACCACCTTGAGGCTAACGTCTTACCTGCCTTGGCTTGCTATTGCTGTAATAACCACCATTTCAAAAAGCAACAGATGAGCCGGGCGATGGTGGCGCACGCCTTTAATCCCAGCACTCGGGAGGCAGAGGCAGGCGGATCTCTGTGAGTTCGAGACCAGCCTGGTCTACAGAGCTAGTTCCAGGACAGGCTCCAGAACCAGAGAAACCCTGTCTCGAAAAACAAAACAAAAAAAGCAACAGATGTAGCAAAGATTTTATTTCAACTTACAAGTCCCTATCCAGTCCATCATGAAGGAAAGTTGAGGCAGGAACTGAAGCAGGGGCCATGGAGAAATGCTGCTTACTGGCTTGCGGCAGCCACCTTTTGTGGGTTGGGTCCTCCCACGTGTCGGCAGGCCATTCTGATTGAGGCTTTTCTCAAGTGAGGTTCCCTTTCCCCAAATAACTCAAGCTTATGTCAAGCTGACAAAAAACCCAACCAGGACTCCATCCAGATATAATTTAAATTCATTATAATGACAGACTATAATTTTCATCCTTTTCAGAGTGTTTCTGGTGAGAAAGCAAGCCACCAAAGAATACCAGGAGAAACACTGCCACCTGCTGGGCAAAGTAGGACACGCATCCTTTAGGAAACAGGATCCAATATAGGTCAGAAGTTTGAGGGGAGAGGGAGATCTTATTTTTATTACTGGGGTGTGGGACAGGTACATGTGTAAGTCAGAGGACCATATTTGTGGGGTCATTTCTCCACTTTTAACCTTACTTGGGTTCCAGGAATCAAAACTCAGGCTGCCAGATTCAGATTCAGACAGCATTTACCCACTGAGCAGTCTTGGTCACTCCAACTTTCGCTGTTGTTCTGTTTTTGTGTTTTGAATGAGGGGAGGGGGGGCATCATCGTATAGTAGAGGCTGGCCTTGAACTGCTCACCCTTCAGGCTCTGACTCAGGAAATCAAAGTGCACCCGAGCAAGTTCGATAGGCAACCAGCTTCCACGTAAGAGGAAAATGCAAGAAGCAGAAGCTCATTAGCAGTGATATAAAATAGATAATTCAAAGAAACAGGGATATAAATGAAGCAAATAGTTAATAACTAGAAATTCCCTAACCTAAGGCATTTTTCTCATGAACAAATCTTTAGAAGGGTTGGCAAACAGGTTAGCTCATTGAGTACTGACTATGAGACCATATGGACTTGAGTTCCGACCCCCAGCACACACATAAAAAACTGGGAATCTGGAACTCGAGCGTTGAGGCGAGGTATCGCTGGCCATCCAAGGTCTAGCTGTGTCTAGGTCCAGGTTCATAAGAGACCCTCACTCAAAAAATACGGTGGGGGCTGGAGAAATGGCTCAGGAGTTAAGAACACTTGCTGCCCTGCAGAGGACCCAAGTTCAGTTCCCAGCACTCATACAGTCTGTAACTCTGGTTCCAGGGTTACCTCTCTGGCCTCCACAGGCACCAGGTACTTATGTGGTACATGCATATGTGCAGGTAAAACACTGCACAGCAAAAGGCAGGCATGGTAGTACACACCTTTAATCAGGAGGCACAGGAAGACGATCTCTGTGAGTTCCAGGCCAGCCTGGGCTACCCAGTGAGACCCTGTTTCAAAAAAAAAATCTTTAAAATCAAAGTGGAGATCCCCTGAGAAAGACACCTGTGCACACACAAGCACATGTACGTACACCGCACATGCAAACTCATGTTGATTAAGTTTATACTGAGTAGTAAAGCTCGTAATTAAACACAGGCAAGGTGTTACAGATGTGTGTAACCTCAGCAGCTCGGGAGACTGAGGCAGGAGGGGGCAAATTTGAGCCCAACAACGTAACTAGTCCCCGTCTCCAAAACCAAAAAGCGTTGATGGGGATGCTCAGCTGGCCGAGTGCTTGCCTACATGCTTGATTCCTAGCATGCAGGAATCCTTCGGTTCAGACCCTGGCCTGGAATAACTCTGGGCGGGCAGGGCAACCGCAGGTCTATAACCCCTGCCCTTGAGAGGTAGAAGCCGGTGGAGGATCAGAGCTTCAAGTCATCCTTGAAAAGCAAGTTCAAGAGCATCAGGGAGACATTCTATCTGAAAGCAAAAACCAAGAAGTTTGCTTTCAGGGCAAAGTCAGAAGTAGGGCAACGACCTGTAGACCCTGAGTTAGAGGAAGTGCTCCTGATAGGGGAGCGGGTAAGTCAGAGTGGAAGGGCGAACAGTAGGAAAAACAAACAGAGGGAGGCCGCCTGGTTCCAAACAAAACCCCCACTCTGAACCGTAAGAAGAGCTGCCGTCCTACCAAACACGCAAGCATGTTTGACGTCTGATTTCTCATGGTTACATCTCGCTTATGGCAAGTTCTCCTCACACAGCCCAACTGAGCTTGTCCCCCTGACCCTCTCATCCAAGCTTCTCAGACGGTGAGATCTACAAGGGTTGTACCCCGTTCTGGGCCAGGATCAGAGCCATTTAGATTCAGAAATGAAAACTGAAGAGTTTTGTAATGTAGCCTGGGCAGCTCAATAGTCAATGACCAGTTTAGTTCTATCTCACAGCATAAAATAACCTTTTTCAGGAGCGAGGTCGTTTTCTCCCGGGTTGTTGATTCAGTTGTCAATTTTGGAGAAGGCTGCACGTAACCCGAGATCTGTGTGATTTCAGCTCTGGGCTCTCTTATGCAAGCAGTCTTAATTTTAATTTAAAAAGTTGGTCATCGTTCTTTTTAAACATTTATGTATCTGGGGTGGGGGGCACATGAGTGCTCCTGTCTATGGCAGTTCTCTCTTTCCACTGTGTGGGCTCCACGGCTTGAATGCAGGCAGCTGTCAAGCTTAGCAACAAACACCTTTACCCACCGAGGTGTCTCTGTTCTGAGTTTCCTCACTTCAGAATGGGCCTAACAACTGCTTCATAGGCTGAGGAGAGAGAGACACACCATACACACTCAAGAACAGCGGTTAGTATTACTCCAACTAAACAAAAGTGTGAGGAGGTGGGGTGGACTCCTTAGGAGACAGAAGATGGCCTTGAACCACTGACCCACCTGCCCTTCTGCTCTGGAGTGCTGACCATCACTCCCTTAATTCTCAAAGAGTTTTGTGTAAGTTCTTCATTGAAGAGGAGATGCGTGGGTGATTAAATAGACAAAACTGGACCAGATGGTGGCACACACACTTTTAATCCCAGCACTCTGAAGGTTTAAACAGGTGGGTCTGTGAGGCCAGCCTGGTCTACCTAGGGAGTGCCAGGACAGCCAGGGCTACATAGAGAGGCCCAGTCTCAAAAATAAAAAAATAAAATTGGGGGGGGGAGCATTTATATAATGTTTTGTGTTTCTTCTCTATCTCTCTCTCCCTCTCTCCCTCTCTCTCTCTCCCTTCCTCTGTATGTGTGTGGGTTGCACACAACTGTAATCCCTGCATTTGAGAATGCTGAGGCAACACGGGCTACATCACAAGGCCCTGTCTCTAACACACTAACACGCACGCACGCTCACACACACAAGGTTTTCATGTTCGCTGTCTTTTCCTTCCTTCCTTCCCTCCCTCCTTCCTTCCTTCCTTTCTTTTTTTCTTGGTTTTTCGAGACAGAGTTTGTCTGTGAGCTTTGGAGCCTGTCCTGGAACTTGCTCTTGTAGACCACGCTGGCCTCGAACTCACAGAGATCCGCCTGCCTCTACCTCCCAAGTACTTGGAATAAAGGCGTGCACCACCACACTTATTTTAATGCATGAACTCTACAGAAAGAATATCTGCAGCCACCAAATAAACTGCAGGCAGATCACGCTAAGAACCTAGCACCGGAACGACTCTCACGGAAGCGCGGCTGTTTCTGGACATGCGTTCTACACTCACCGCCAGCGCGCGTCCGTGACGCGGTGCTCTGGGCCCGCAGCCCCACAGCAGGTGACAGTGCACGGGCCGCTTCTGGCCTCGGAACGTCGCACGCCCCCGGCGCGCCACCCGCTCACTAGGTGGCTCCTGCTTCCCGCTCGCTCTCATCTTTCTCTCTCGAGTAACATTTTCAGCTGCACCAGAGAATCCCATCGTTCCCAGCCCTGCCGCTTCTCCCCGAGCTCCGATCCGACGGCGCAGAGAGGGGTTTCTCTCCCACCACCGCAGTGACGCGCCCCGGAGTCCGTGGGCTCAGGGACCTGACTCTCCCCGCCTCCCAGGGTTCTTCTTCCTCGATGATTGGCCGTGGGCCCTGTCCGTCTTGACTCCAGGACCCGCCCTCTCCCACGCAGCGCCTTCCAGCCGCTGCTCACCGGTGGCCGCTGCACTCCTGGCTGAGGGCGACCAGGGCGATGGGTGCACCTGCAGGATCGGAGTCGCCACGGGCCTGGCCCCTCCCCTGGTGCCAACCCCACCCACCCAGCTGGCCCTTTTCCTCCCAGGCTCGGCTGGCCGCCGGACTGTTCCCCCACTCCTAGGCTCGCCCGTCACTCTTCCACCCCTCCCTCCTCGCCACCGCTCGCACGTCTGGAGCGCCCGGGCAGAGCGGGTGGCGCACCGGGGGCATGCGCTCCATGAGGGTTCTGCAGAACGCGCTGAGCCGTGCCGGCAGCCACCGCCGGCGGGGAGGCTGGGGTCACCCGAGCCGGGGCCCGCTCCTAGGCGGGGGCGTCCGGTACCACTTCAGTGAGGCCGCGCCGCACAGCCACCAGCCGCAGCACACGGATCAGTAAGGCTCGCGGGACAGGGGCAGGGGACAGGCTGGCTCCCATTCCCACTGCCGTTCTTGCTAGCTCGCTGGGAGTGCCCTTGCCCAGAGAGCGCATCTCGTCTCCTCTCCGAGCTCACTAGCCTGCGATGCCTTTTCCTTTAGATGTGGGGATTTGGGTCCGCCGCGCTCGGGCGGTCAGGTGCCGTCCGCCCGGGAGGGCGTTTGGGCAGGTCGGTCTTCGAGATGATGCCTGTCCAAGGTGCGTACTTAATGGGGAACGCGGATGCGCGCCGAGTGTTGCCTGGTGCACACCTGCCCATCCGCATCCTCTTTCTACTCTGGTCCCGGAATTTTAGGGAAGGTCGTGGGTATGGAACAGCTTCCTGCCCCAGGTCAAAGTGCACTTGAGTCTGTGTGGTGTTTCTTGTTTCTGAGTGTCGTCAGTGGGTTTTGTGTGGTGCGCGTCATTTCTGATGCGCACGTTCTGTTCGTATGTGTCCGGCGTGTTTTTGTAGCAGAGCGTAGCTGTAGAATATCCTACATGCAGGCAAAACACTCGTAACAAGTTTCCAACTTGATCGTTGAATGTGTTGATTTTTCCTAAATGAGGAAAATTGTGAGACACAGATTTTTCCAAACCAGAGTCAGAGCTATTATGTTGCTCTGTCTCCCTGAATTGAAGAGTTTTTTTCCTTTGGGGCCCATCTTCAACCCAGGAAGTCGACCGCCCTCCCCGCGGTGCACACCTGCCCATCCGCATCCTCTTTCTACTCTGGTCCCCGTATTTTAGGGACGGTCGTGGGTATGAAACAGCTTCCTGCCCCCCCTTCCCCTACTGCCCAGGCAGCAGGGTTGACAGTATTGGAGAGTGATGGGCCCTGGGAGTGTGGTACTATGAGGGGTTTCTGTGTTGGGAGGGTAAAGGAGGTCAGTAAAAAGGGAATACCTTGTAATTCAGATTATTTTAAAATACTTAGTGTAGGGCCTGAGAGGTGGCCCGGTCATTTAGAGTACTTGTTTCTCTGGTAGAGGACCTGGGTCTGATTTCCAGCACCCACATGATGGCTCAGAACTATCCGTAATTCCCAGGCTTTCCTGTGTGTGCATTCACACAATAAAATAAATCTTTTAAAGCCAGGCTGTGATGTCACACACCTTTAATCCCAGCACTAGGGAGGCAGAGGCAGGCGATCTCTGAGTTCGAGATCAGCCTGGTCTATAGAGTGAGTTTGGATAGTCAGGAATGTTACACAGAGGAACCCTGTCTCGAAAAACAAAACAAAACAAAATCTTTTTAAAACATTTAAAAATAAAATTCCTACCACCAGGCGTGGTGGTGTACACCTGTGTTGTTGGTGGTGGTGTTTTTCAAGACAAGGTTTCTCTGTGTAGCCCTGGCTGTCCTGGAACTCGCTCTGTAGACCAGAGTGGCCTCTAACTCAGAGGTTCACCTGCCTCTGCCTCCCGAGTGCTAGGATTAAAGGTGTGCGCCACCACCGCCTGGCTTTATGAAGTTTTTGTTGTTGCTGTTTTTATTATTATTATTATTATTATTATTATTATTTTGCTGTGTATGGGTGTTCTACTTTACTCATGGCTGTGTACTGCATTCATGCCTGCTCAGAGAGAGTATTGGATCCCCTGGAAATGGAGTTATAAATGGGTGTGAGTCACCCATTGAACCCAGGTCCTCTGCAGGAACAGATGCTCTTCACCACCGAGCCATCGCTCCAGTCCTGAGTCACCTGGTACTCTTGGAGAGGGCCCAGCTTCAGTTCCCAGCGTAGCTGATTAACAATTATCCATAACTAGTTCCAGGGAATCTGGGTTATTCTGACCTCTCAGGGCACCAGGCCCGGCATGATGGTGCATAAATTTAGTCCCAGCACTCAGGAGGCAGAGGCAGGTGGATCTCTGTGAGTTTAGGTCAGGCTGATCTACAGAGTGAGTTCTAGGACAGCCAGAGCTGCAAAAAGTTAATTCTGTGATGTATCCATATATAGGTTATATATGTACATGTATATGCATATAATTTAACAAGTGTAGAATTATAATATTTTGGTGAGCTATATTTTGCACATGAGTTTTATTTTTAATTAATTGATTTTTTTTTTTTTAAATATTTATTTATTTATTATGTATACAGTATTCTATCTGTGTGTATGCCTGCAGGCCAGAAGAGGGCACCAGACCTCATTACAGATGGTTGTGAGCCACCATGTGGTTGCTGGGAATTGAACTCAGGACCTTTGGAAGAGCAGGCAATGCTCTTAACCACTGAGCCATCTCTCCAGCCCCCTAATTAATTGATTTTTAACTATCGTATATGTATGAATACCAGTAAGCCTTGTGCTCACGTGGTCAGTGGGTAACTAGAGCTGGTTCCTTCCTTCCACCTTTATGTGGCTCCTCAGGTCTCCAGGGCTGCAGGCAATCACTGCTTCCTGCTAGTTGTCTTGCTCACCCTGTATTCAGTTTTTTTAAATGGCTTTTTATAGTGTTATGTTTATTTTGTGTGTATAGATATTTTGCCAGTATGTATGTCTGTGGGAGGCCAGGAGAAGATGTCAGATCCCCTGGAGCTGGAGTTACAGACACTAGTGAGCAGTCCTATGGATGATGGAAATTGAACCTGGAACCCAGTAATTTTTTTTTTTTGGACACAGTCTCATATAGCCTAAGTTGGCCTCAAACTCTATATAGGGGAGATCTTGAACTTGCCTCCACCTCCAGAGAGCTAGGATTACACATACCTCTTTTGGTTTTTGAGACAGGGTTCTAGTAATAGCGTTGCCTGGCCTGGAACTTCTGTGTAGACCTAGTTGGCCTGGAACCTTCCTTGATCCGGTCTCTGCCTCCCAAGACCTATGGGGTTATGAGGATATGTTCCCGTATTGGACAAGTCTTCCCACAATGCAGTGGGCATTCAGGCATGGGTTCCCTCTTCTGGCTTGGGTCTCAAGTTTCCAGTCACGGTTTGGTCACTCCTACAAGTTCTGCGCCTCCTTTACCCCAGCACACGTGCAGGTAGGACAAATCATAGGTTGAAGCTTTTGTGGCTGTGTTGATGTCCCAGCCCCTCTACTGGAAGCCTTGCCTGGTTACAGAAGGTGACCAGTTCAGGCTCCATGTCCCCCTATTGCTAGAAATTGTCACTAGGGTCATTTTTGTAGATTCTAGGGGGTATCCATTGCACTAGGTTTCTGCCTCACTCCCCCAAATGCCTCCCAATTCCAGTCATCTCTCCCCAACACCTAATCTCTCCTGTTCCCATCCCCACCTGCCCCCAGTCCAGCCATGAACTCTATTCTATTTCCCCTTCTGAAGGAGATCCATGCGTCCCCTTTAGAGCCTTCCTTGTTACTAGCCTCTCTGGGTCTGTTGGATTGTAGCACAATTATTATCCACTTATGAGTGAGTGCATACCATGTTTGTCTTTCTGGGTCTGGGTTACCTCATTCAGGTGATTTTTTTCTAGTTCCATCCATTTGGCTGCAATGATGTTATTTTTTTAAACAGCTGAGTAATACTCCATTGTGCAAATGTACCACATTTTCTTTACCCATTCTTCAGTTGAGGGACATCTAGATGGCTTCCAGTTTTTGGTCTAGATGGCTTCCAGTTTTTGGCTATTATGAACAAAGTTGCTATGAATATAATTGAGCAAGTGTCCTTGTGGTAGGATGGAACGTCCTTTGGATATATGCCCGGGAGTGGAATAGCTGGGTCTTGAGGTAGATCGATTCCCAATTTTCTGAGAGACTGCCATACTGATTTCCACAGTGGCTGCACAAGTTTGCACTCCCACCGGCAGTGGAGGGGTGTTCCCCTTGCTCCACATCCTCTCCAGCATGAGCTGTCACTTGTGTTTTTTTGATATTAGTCATTCCGACAGATGTAAGAGTGAATCTAAGTCATCTTGATTTGTATTTTCCTGATGGCCAAGGATGTTGAACATTTAAGTGTTTCTCGGCCATTTGAGATTCCTCTGTTGAGAACTCTCTGTTTAGATCTGTACCCCATTTTTAATTGGATTATTTGCTTTGTTTGTTCTAGTTTCTTGAGTTCTTTATATCTTTTGGATATTAGCCCTCTGTCAGATGTGGAGTTGGTGAAAATTTTTTCCCATTCTGTGAGCTACCGTTTTGTCCTGGATGGCACTGATATTTTTGTTTTAACCCTTATTTTTATTTCTGTTTATTGGGGAGGGTTACCCATGAAGGCCAGAAGAAGGCATTTAATCCCCTGAAGAAACCGGCAGTTGTGAGCAACCCACCCAACGTGAGTGCTGGGGAGGGAGCACAGGTCTTCTGAGGGACAACAGGTGCTCTGAACTGCTGAGACATCTCCAGCCATTTGTTTCTGGTTTGCACATGGTCTCAGGTAGCCCAGGCTGGCCTCAGACTGACTATGCGGCTGAAGGTGACTCCTGATCCTCCTGCCTCCACCTCCCACGTTTTAGGATTACAGGAATATGTCACCTCACCCTGTTTGTATGACAGGTTTTTGCGTTTGTTTGTTTGTTTCGAGACAGGGTTTCTTTGTGTACCCTTGGCTGTTCTGGACCTGCTGTGTAAACCAGGCTGGTCTACACCTTCAACTCAGGGATCCACCTGCCTCTACCTCCTGAGTGCTGGGATTCAAGGCTAAAGGCATGCACTACCATGCCCGGCTTTAGGGTTCTGAGTGGAAAATGGTTAAGTTTCAGAAGGACAGCTGGCATGGAGGGCAGGGAGTATAGTAGCAGATGACAGGCAGGAAGCTGTTGATTGGCTTACTTTCTGTCACTCTGTCATGGAGTGTGGTCCTGAGCCTGACACCGCCCGTGTCAAGTAGATAAGGAGAAGCAGGCTAGCAATAGTGATCAAGCTGCCTAAGTCACACAGCAGTGGGAGCAAAGCAGACTCTTTCTAGGACACAGGAGAAAGAGGGGGGATTTGAGAGGAAAGTGAAGACGAATTCGTCCAGTGTTAGTGACCCACTCAGTATAGACACAGAATGTGGGAAGAATCAAAGCATTTCTGCAGTGCAGCTTGCATCCCGGTGGTTATGAGTGTACCAGCCCCTCATGGGAAACATGTGAGCAGAGACAGCTCTTGCTGGGTGCGTTCAGTTTTCAGGGTGTGTGGGACATCTGGAAGTGGAATTATCTAGAAGACAGCTTGAAATGAAGGTCTGAAAGTTCAGAGCTTTGGAAAGAAAGCTGGAGAGTAGGATTCACATCTCGTGCCAGAGGTGGAGTTAGGAGCAGACGGAACATCCTCAGGCCCCCGCCTTCCCCTCTCTTCCCCCCAAACAGTGATGTGTCAAACAGCGGTATGCTGCCTCGCCTTGGTGACCTGCTCTTCTACACCATTGCTGAGGGACAGGAACGGATCCCCATCCACAAGTTCACTACCGTAAGTGGCTGTCTGCCTGTCCAGAGAACTCTGACTCTTTAGAGGCCCTGGGACGTGAGAAAAGGCTGGTTGACAAAGTATAGGTTAGCTAATGGGTGTGAACACTGAAAAATACAGAGGACTAATGGCTGCCTGGGCTGATGAGCCAGTGCCATCGTCCAGATGATAACACTTCTCATGGAAAGTGGCAAGAGACGTACTAACCTCTGAGACTGCTCCAGTCCCTTTGCTTAGTTCCCAAACCCATGTTCTACCGATTGTAGTAGTTAGCGGTGGGGAATTTGGGGATCTATTGGGAAAGACTGAGGAATAGATTGCTGTCCTTGGCTGACCTGACCAGGCCTCTTCTCTCCCCCAAAGGCCCTGAAGGCCACTGGACTACAAACGTCAGACCCGCGGCTCCAGGACTGCATGAGCAAGATGCAGCGCATGGTCCAGGAGTCCAACAATGGTGGCCTCTTGGACCGTGATCTCTTCCAAAAGTGAGAGCCCCAGAAATGAGCATTGCCCCCAGAACTTCTCTGTAGGTAGAAGAGCTTTACTTATAATACAAGCAATACATACTCATTATGAAAAATAATACAGAAATATATTTTTTTCTACTCAGTCCTAGCCCCTTTCCCAGATGTAAACATTGTTAACAGATTAGTGAGTGTGTTCTAGAAAACGCCCTGTGTGCTCACATACACTTATGGCTGTATATATTAGGACTTCTCAACGCTAGAGCCCATAGGCTATGCTTTTTCTGATTTTAGTATTTTTCTCAAAATGTCTCGGGCTATCTTCCTATGTCTTTAGAACCCCTCATTTTGGAGGTTAGGGAATTTAAACCTCGTGAGATAAAATAACGGCCAAAAGTCACACAGCTGTTAGTCTGAAACCAGATGAACGCTCACAACCCTGCTTATCCCCAGCTTGTGTGGTTCCCATGCCTGCTGTATCTTTCCAGCCCCCTAACACACTCGTATCTGGGATCCAGGTGTGTGAGCAGCAACATTGTGCTCCTGACTCAGGCATTCCGAAAGAAGTTTGTCATCCCTGACTTTGAGGAGTTCACGGGCCACGTGGATCGCATCTTTGAGGATGCCAAAGAGCTCACTGGAGGCAAAGTGAGAGCCAGGGAATGAGGGAGGGGTGGGGGCTCTGAGCTAGACACACATTGTTTCTCAGAGACTTCCTGGGGCTGAGGTTCAGTGATACAGGCTGAGGAGCAGAGCCTCAGAAACAAGGACATGGCTTCATGTGAGTCTATGTGTACTCTAATAGCATGTGACAAGACCTTAGGCTTTTGTGGACATGGATGGCAGAAAATAGGCTTCGTGGTGCAGGCCTATAATCCCAATTCTCAGGAGGTTAAGGCAGAATCAGAAGTTTGAGGTCAGCTTGGATTCTTAGGGAAGACCCTGTCTCAAAGGAAAGATATTCAGTCGAGCCTTCAAGACTTACAGGGAGTGGACCTGAAAACCCAGCCCTAGAATTGCCAGTTTTTAATGTTCAATGGGCTTTCCTGCTATTCCGCCATGGTTAGGACTACAGAGAGGTAGGGTTGCCAGGGACTGAAGACCTGGGTGCTTCTGGAAGCAGTGCACAGAAGGACTATCTGTTGTAGGTGAAGGCTTGGGTGCTTCTGGAAGCAGTGCACAGAAGGACTATCTGCCGTAGGTGGCAGAATATTAGCTTCTACCAGTTTCTGACCCTGCACATAGCTGTGCTGTTCTCCACTCTCACCTCTCTCCCCTTCTCTACCTATTCATGCCCAGGTGGCAGCCTACATCCCTCAGCTGGCCAAGTCAAACCCAGACCTTTGGGGTGTCTCCCTGTGCACTGTGGATGGTCAGCGGTAAGATCCTGGGTGACGCTGGGCCTTGTGGCACACGCCTTTAATCCCAGCACCTGGTCGGCAAAGGCAGGAGGATCTCTGAGTTCAAGGCCAGTCTGGTCTACAGAGCGAATTCTGGGACAGCCAGGGCTCTGTAGAGAGACCCCGCCTCAAAAACAAACAAGGGGGCTGGAGAGCTGACAGTAAGAGCACTGGCTGTTCTTCCTGAGGACCCAAGTTCAATTCCCAGCACCCACATGGCAACTCACAACTGTCTGTAAATCCAGTTTCAGGGTACCCGACACCCTCATACATGCAGACAAAACACCAATGCACATAAATAAAAATTAGACAAGCAAACACCAAGAGACGCTGGGTGAGAGGGAGGTGCTGAAGGGCGCAGGCGCAGAACAAAGCCCAACCCCTTTTATGGACCCTCTCTTTCTCCAGGCACTCTGTGGGCCACACGAAGATCCCATTCTGCCTGCAGTCCTGTGTCAAGCCCCTCACTTACGCCATCTCTGTGAGCACCTTAGGCACTGACTACGTGCACAAGTTTGTGGGCAAGGAACCCAGCGGTCTGCGCTATAACAAACTGTCCCTCAACGAGGAAGGTGAGTGTCTCCAGGGCGCACGCTTAGTCTGCCTTTCCCTTAGCCCTACCGCTCTCTTCTCCCGTTCTTTGCCTTTTCTCTCATCTAGGTAGGAGCCAAACCCAACCCTGGTTAGCTTCAGAATGGAACAATATAAAGCAGACTTTCGTTAGTGGCCAACAGACTCTGGTTTGTGTTTTCCCAGGAATCCCCCATAACCCCATGGTCAATGCCGGTGCCATCGTTGTCAGCTCCTTGATCAAGGTCAGTACAAGTCTAACCCTGTGAAAGGTAATAGTCTCCCATCCCCTTATTCCTGCATCTGTTCATCTCTCCAGGGAGACTGGCGGGGTACCGGGTCCTTTGAGGGTTAATAAGAGGCATGGAAAAGTACAACAGGAAGCCAGATGTTATAAGCTATGGATATTAGTAAGAGTTCGCACATCACTTCCCTTACCCTAGTCCTCCCTGCCCCCACCAGAGCACTGACCATTACAGAAGTGAGCAGGTCGTGACCTCTGCCTAGGACCAACAGCCAGATGCCAAAGGCAGGGGGAGGACAACACCATCAGGCATTGATTGGCCATTCCTGGGTGAGAGACGCACTGAGAAAAGGGTGAATGGCCAGTTCAGGGCAGTCATTCACGTCACCTGGGACTGCGAGCTGGCCTTGAGCAAGGGGTGTCAGGCAGGCCCTTCAGCTGCAGCTCTCCCAGGGCTTGAGCAAGAACCTGGGAGCAGCGTGGGCAGCGACACCATGGGGCCAATCACAACCCCTCCTGAGGAAGGTGGTGTTAGGAACCCTTCCCCCTAGGAGCTCAGGTGTCAGAGTCCCCGAGTGTTGACTCTATAGCTGACATATGCAGGAAGCGATGAATCTGGGGGAGGGACCGAGGCAAATGTGCCTGGCTGTTCCATGACAGTTTTGTCTGCAGCCCTGTCTTGGGGGTCTCTCTCATCTTAATCTCATCTAAATCAGCGTGGCGAACCCGACTCACAGCTAAGCTAAACTTCAGCTTCGGAGCTGGGGATGAAGCTCAGTAGTAGAACATTCGCCTCCACAGTCTGTGGAGACCCTCGGTTCAATCTCTGGCACCGCTAAAAAGAAATGATTTCTGTTTCATTTATCAGTAAAGCCGGGGGGGGGGGGGCGGGTAGCTCAGTGGCAGAGCATTTGACCAACATACCTGAGGTCCTAGTTTCCCTGGTAATAGAAGAAAATCGTTTATCAATGTAATTGAGTATTAACAGACTTCCCATTTCTGTCCCCGAGGGTATGGGAATCTGGTACAGGGTAGAGTAAGGTAATGGGGTGTAAGGAATGCGAGTGGGGGCTGGGTGGTGGCGGTGGTGTACACTTTTAATCCCAACACTCAGGAGGCAGAGGCAGGCAGATCTCTGAGTTCAAGGCTCCCAGATCTACAAAGCAAGTTCCAGGACAGCCAGGGCTACATGGAGAAACCCTCTCTTGGAAAAGAGAGAGAGAGTTGGACCATGGTAGCACATACCTGTAATGCCAGAAGTACAGGTAGAAAAATCAGAAATTCAAGGCTAGTCTGGGATACATGAGACCTTTACTAAAAAATAAATAAAATGGATGGTGGTGGTGAGGGATAGGGTCAGACTGGAGACAGGGATGAGGGCTTGAGATTGAGACTAGAAAGTAGAGGTGAGGCTGGGGAGGGGGAGGAAGGGGATAGGGGAGGCTGGGAGGTGGGGCTGGGATGGGGAGGCTGGGAGGAGGTGAGGCTGGGGATAGGGGAGGCAGGGGATAGGTGAGGCAGGGGATAGGTGAGGCTGGGGATAGGTGAGGCTGGGGAGGGGGGGAGGCTGTGGAGAGGTGAGGCTGCGGAGGGGGAGACAGGCTGGGGGAGGTTGGGGAGGGATGAGGCAGGGAATGGGGGAGGCTGCAGGGAGGTGAGGCTAGGGAGGGATGAGGTGGGAAGGGAGTGAAACTGAGGATAGAGGAAGCTGATGGATGCAGTGAGGTTATCTGAATCCTCATTCTTTGATAATTTAAATTTTCATTTTTTTTTTGAGGCAAGATCTTTCTATGTACCCCAAACTGCCCTTGAAATCTTTCAGTAATCCTCCTGCCTCGGCCTCCGAAGTGCTGGGAATACAGGCATGCATCACTAAACTGGTCAATAGTTTGGTTTTCTCTGTTTCTAGACATGGACCTGCAGGCAGAAAGGTCTCAGCTAGTTAAACAAGGGTCATGTCCCTATAACCTCAGCTACTCAGAGACCAGAGGATCACAGGGCCACGACTAACTCACAGACCAGCCTGGGTATCACAGGCTTGTCTCAGAAGCAGCAAAAGACACTGTAAAATGTAAGGTTGCCTGTAGCAAGGCTAGCCTAACATGCCAGCTCCACAATGCCCTTGTGACCCTTCTGTTTGCCATCCGTCTAGGCCTGGAATACTGATTGCTTTCTCTCTCTCTCTGCAGATGGACTGCAACAAGGCCGAGAAGTTTGATTTTGTAAGTTCTTTGCATGCAACGTCTTGCTGCCTTTCCCATGGCTGCTGTCTTCTACAGCTGCCTCTGGTGCCTGGCTTAAGCCAAAGGCTTCACCAACCCAGAGCAGAAGCGGTACCTCCAGAGGAGAGGGACCCGCTGGCTTCGGCCTCTTGAGATCCCTGGTCTCCTGGGCAAAGCTGGGATGAGGACGGCGGGGTTCCGAGTGAGTGGCTTTGCCGGCCTGACCGGTGTATTCTAGGGCTCTTTAGTCAGAAGGCATCACTCCGGCCCCCTTCCCTTCCAGGTACTGCAGTATCTGAACAAGATGGCTGGGAATGAATTCATGGGGTTCAGCAATGCCACGTAAGGCTCTGTTTAGAGGACTGGCTGAGTGCACTGTACTGTTGAGTATGTGTACGCGTGGTGGGGCAGCTAAAGAGGAAGGGAAAAGAGAACAGATACACTCTTAGGAAGGAACTCAAGGAGGGGGGTTGGCCTCCCAGCTTCCTTAGGGCCCCTTATTGACATCCATTTGCTTGGAGAGATAGCGACCCACTTCGATCTGTGTGTAATGAGAAAGGCAGTGTGATAGATTGTGTCTGAGCCCTGGTTAAGACTCAGAGCCGAAAACCGTGCCAGACTTTGCCAGACTTCCTTGACAGAAGGGCTAGACAGCTCTGGGTGGGTTTGTTTGGTCTGGTCACATTTTACCGCAAAGCTACACCAAGTGTTTGCTCAGGTTCACGAGTTCCCACTAATATTCTGTGAGACGCTACAAAGGGGTTGATTCAGTGTGATGCGGCGATAGAGTGCTGTACCCCAGGAAAGGCAGGGCCCCCCTTCTCCCTCTTCCCACCTCTTTGCCTCTTCAACTTCAAACGCTAAATTTGGTCTTTGTTTCAGATTTCAGTCAGAGAAGGAAACCGGGGATCGGAATTACGCCATTGGCTATTACCTCAAGGAAAAGAAGGTAACTGGGAGGGGCCAGCGAGAAGTCCCTGGGGATTCTGGTGCCAGGCCAGGGCCGGAGGGGTTGGAGATGGTGTGCGAATCTGGCTAGTGAAATCACTGGCCTGAAGAAACCGCTTCCCCCTGCTCTTCCCTGCAGTGCTTCCCCAAGGGAGTGGACATGATGGCTGCCCTCGATCTCTATTTCCAGGTACACAAACACTCCCGGGTTCTCTGGGCTACGGGGGAGACCCTTCTCTCTGGTGGTCCTGGCAGATGTGCTGAAAGCTCTAGATGTCAGAACATCACTCTTGGTTGCTGTGCTCATGCCCACACTGCCCTTTTACCTCTCTCGTTTCCGTAGCTGTGTTCTGTGGAGGTCACCTGCGAATCAGGCAGCGTCATGGCGGCCACTCTCGCCAACGGTGGCATCTGCCCCATCACAGGCGAGAGCGTGCTGAGCGCTGAAGCCGTGCGGAACACCCTCAGCCTCATGCACTCCTGCGGCATGTATGACTTCTCTGGCCAGTTCGCCTTTCATGTGAGTGTCCCCGGCTCTGCTGTCCAGGGCCAAGAAGAGAGGTTGGGGTGAAGCTTACCCCTGCCTCCTTCACAAACATCTAGCCAGGCTAAAATCCTTAGAGAAATTTGCCAAACACTTCACATTCCTCAAACACATCGACCTTTTACATAGCTGATTCCCATCTTAGACATCACTTCCAAAGAGAGGCATGGTTGATTTGTTTGTAGCCTCAGACTCAGTGATCTTCCTGCCTCAACCTCTCAATTACTAGAACTACAGCCATACACTTTCACACCTGGCCTTTTTTCTTGTTTGATTTGGTATTGAGGATCAAACCTAGGTCTTAACCGTGGTAAGGAAGTGCCGTGCCTCTGAACTGCACCCCCAGCCAGTGCCACCTCACTGAACTGCATCCCCAGCCAGTGCTGTGCCTCTGAACCACACCCCCCAGGCCCTGGAGGTGTTTCTGATCAAACAAAACCACCTCCACCTCTGTTCAGGGCACCCTAGTCCTTTTCTTCTCCGCGTTTGCTTTAATTATTTTATCTATTTTTAAAGATTTGTTTTTTTTGTTTTTGTTTTTAATTTTTATGGTTTATTTAACTTTATTTTATGTTCATGGGTGTGAAGGTGTCAGATCCCCTGCAACTGGATCTTCAGACAGTTGTGAGCTGCCATGTGGGTGCTGGGAATTGAACCCAGGTCCTCTGGAAGAACAGTCAGTACTCTTAACCATTGAGCCATCTCTCCAGCCCCTAAAGATTTGTTTTTTATTATGGGGGAGTATGTACAGAAGACGCCCATTGAGGCTAGAAGTATTGGGGATCCCCCCCTCGGCAAAGCTGGAGTTTCAGCTGGCTGTGAGTCTGTCAGTTTTGGTAGTTGGGATTGAACGTGAGTTCTTTGCAAGAAGAGTGCAGGCTCTAATTCCTGACCACCTCTCCGGATCTCACCACCACCCCTTTTAAATCCCAGCACTTGGGAGGCAGAGGCAGGCAGATCTCTGTGAGTTCAAGACCAGCCAGGTCTACAGAGCAAGTTCAGGACAACCAAGGATGCATGGAGAACCCTTGTCTCAAAAAATATGGTTTTTTTTTTTTTTTTTTAAGTTATGTGTATGGGTGTTTTGCTTGCATGTATGTTTGTAAACCATGTACATACAGTGCTCACACAGGCCAGAAGAGGGTGTAGGATTTTCTGGCACTGGAGTTACAGACAGTTGTGAGTTACCATGCTGTTGTTGAGAACCAAACCCTGGCCTTCTGAAAGAGCAGCCAGTGCTCTTAACCACTGAGCCATCTTTCCTGTCCCCAGGTCCCATTTTTAAATTTTAAAAATGTATTTATCATTAGTGTGTGCATGGTGGTGCATGTGTGAAGGTCAGAGGACAATTTTGTGGAGGTTTTTTCTCTCCGTACACCTTTGTGGGCTCTGGGGATCAAACACAGGTTGCTAGACTTGCACAGGAAGCCCTCCTTTTACCTGAGAAGCCATCTCCCGAGCCCCTATGTACTCTTTGCTTATCTCCTACCACCACAGTAAAGGTTGAATGAGAGACGGTCTCCTGGGGCTGGAAAGATGGCTGGGTAGTTAAGAGTACTGGCTGCTTTGGGAGAGGACCATCTGGAACTCTAGTTCCCGGGTGCTCAGCGCCCTCTTCTGGCCTCCTCAGGCATCAGGCACACTTGTGTTGCACATACATACACTCATATATGGAAAATTAAAATAAGTAAAAATGGGGACCATTTCCTAGTTTGAGACCACCCCCAGCAGAGTGCTGTTTGTGTCTTAGCAAGCATTTCCTGCTGCACTGATGCATGGTAGAAGACAGCAGTCAGGCAATCTAAAGCACCGAGACGTGGAGGTGGGTGGTAGTCTTGTCCATGCTGTCACTTAGACTAGCCCGCCTTGTTCCTCAGGTGGGTCTGCCAGCCAAGTCAGCTGTGTCTGGAGCCATCCTCCTGGTTGTGCCCAATGTCATGGGGATGATGTGTCTGTCACCTCCATTAGACAAGCTGGGGAACAGCCAAAGGGGCATCAACTTCTGCCAGGTAAAGTGTTCTGCGTTTAATACTGTTTAAGAATAAATTAATGAGCCAAGCGTGGTGCCGCATGCCTTTAACCCCAGCACTTGGGAGGCAGAGAACTCTGTGAGTTCGAGGCCAGCCTGGTCTACAGAGAAAGTTCCAGGACAGCCTGGTCAACACACAAAAACCTTGTCTCAAAAAATAAACAAAGCCGGGCGATGGTGGCGCACGCCTTTAATCCCAGCACTCGGGAGGCAGAGGCAGGCGGATCTCTGTGAGTTCGAGACCAGCCTGGTCTACAGAGCTAGTTCCAGGACAGGCTCCAAAGCCACAGGGAAACCCTGTCTCGAAAAACCAAAAAAAAAAAAAAAAAAAAAAAACAAAAAAAAATAAATTAAGCTATACTATAAAATAAGCTATACTATAGTTCAAGCAATTTGAACTCCTAGAAAGGGCAAGGGGTAAGTAAACAAATCCTTTGGCTTCTAATTCTAGAAGCTGGTATCTCTCTTTAACTTCCACAACTATGACAACCTGCGGCACTGTACGCGGAAGTTAGACCCACGACGAGAAGGAGGAGAAGTCAGGGTAAGGAAAACCCCGGGCAGCCTAAAAGGTATTTCAAAAACAAAACATCCCGCGACACTTCAGCCAGGTCCTTGGTGAGGCTTGGAGAGGGTCATGGGTAGGGGTGGACATGGGTGGATTCAAAGGGTACAATGTATGTTTCAGAACAAGACCGTGGTGAACCTGTTATTTGCTGCATATAGTGGAGATGTCTCAGCTCTCCGAAGGTAATTCTACTGTGACCACATGAATGTGATGGGACACTCTGGGTCGGATATCTTATTAGGGACTTCAGTTTTAGGGTTAGAGTGGACACGTTGCAATTTAGATGAGCGCATGCCTGCTTGTGTTCATGTGTGTGTGTGTGTGTGTGTGAGAGAGAGCGTACACGCACCTGCTTGTGCAGCTGCACATTTGTGGGTGTGTGTACATGTGGCAGCCAGAGGACACCTTCAGGTGTCAATCCTCAGGGGCCATCCTCTCACTGGCCTTGAGCTCACCAACACATCAAGCTCCCGGGACTTCCTTGTCTGTTTCCCACCCAGTATGGTTACAGGCGAGTGTTACTATGCCTGGTTTGTGTGTGTGTTTTAATGTGGGTTGTGTGAATCAAACTCGGGTCTCAGTTCCTCGTGCTTCCCCAGAAAGCACTGTACTGACCATCTCTAGCCTTAAGGATTTGTCTGTTGCTTTAAAATCAAAGTACCTGCCTTAGGTTAAGAACTTAGTTAGCTACAGCTGGCACTGTGATTGACTTGGGAATGATAAGCTTAGTCCTTCGAAGTGGGGACTCTGTCTCAAATGGGTGACCAGTATGAATACATCCAGTCCGGCCGCACTTCAGAGGCTGACTAGATATTCTAGACCGACATGGGTAACGCGAGCTGCTTCCCACCCCTCAGGTTCGCTCTGTCTGCCGTGGACATGGAGCAGAAAGACTATGACTCCCGCACAGCCCTGCATGTTGCCGCAGCTGAAGGTATTTAATGGGTTAAACAGGGGGCTGGCGAGATGACTCAGTGGTTAAGAGCACTGCCTGCTCTTCAAAGGTCCTGAGTTCAATTCCCAGCATCCACACGGTGGCTCAGAGCCATCTGTAATGCGATCTGGTGCCCTCTTCTGGCCTGCAGGCATACATACAGATGGAACACTGTATACATAATAAATAAATAAATCTTAATAATAATAATAAAGGGTTAAAGGGGAAGGGCAGAGTGTGAGACCCTTCTTTTCCACCAGGCATACCCCTATCATTGTGCTCTTAAAGGGCACAGCCAGTTTTGCCTACAGGCACCTCCGCTGACAGACTGTAACTAGATGCTGGCTGGGAGGAAATGTCTGGGACCTCCTCCCCTCTGGCACAGACTCCAGCTACCAAGGGTCCCCCCAAGTGGTCAGGCCCCACCTGGGCACTCTCATTTCCCTTCTGCTCCTATTCCTAGGACACATTGAAGTTGTCAAGTTTCTGATCGAGGCTTGCAAAGTGAATCCTTTTGTCAAGGACAGGTGAGTAGGGTTAGTGGGGACGGGAAGGCGGGTGACCCCACTGGCCTGCAGCCACGGTGCACAGACTGTGGCACTCTCCTTGTTCCTCACAGGTGGGGCAACATTCCCCTGGATGACGCTGTGCAGTTCAACCACGTAGAGGTGGTCAAGCTGCTTCAAGATTACCATGACTCCTACATGCTCTCTGAGACTCAGGCCGAGGCAGTAGCTGAGACCCTGTCCAAAGAGAACTTAGAGAGCATGGTGTAAGCACAGGCCAGGGGCAGTCCCTGCTCAAGAAAAAGCATGAGCTGGCCATACATTCAATGCACAGCCACCAAAATTCCTGTGGGAAGCTGCTTCAGTGGGGATCAACACAGCCATGTGGTGACACAGGCCAGTGTTTTCTGTGAGAACAAAACCCTCCATCCCCCAGTAAACAGCACACGGAAGCCTCTGTGAACACCTGCAGTAGAAGCTAGCCTCAAGGTATAGTTCAATGGCTTCATCCACTCAAAAGTAGCCCAGGTCTTCACCCAGGTCCCCTGTTCCTCTCTGAAGAAGTTACTATGAGAACAAGATACTTCCTTGGAGAGGCTGTAGCTGCCTGGCATATGCATCTGCCACAGAGTAAGAGATGCGGGCAGAGTCAAAGCGCCTGGCCTAGAAACCTGCAGAGATCGGTCCCCTTAGCAGGACATGCTGCCACCACTGACAGCGATTTTATAGACAGAGAAAGTATTTTGTGTTGAAATAAACTTTAATTACATGATTTTTTTTCTAAATCTAGTCTCTTTCTCCCCTAAAGATACCCAATTTCATCACCATCATAGGTAATAGATTAAGACGGAACCATGGGGTCAGACAAAGTCCAAACAATATTATATTCCACACACATATCCACCTATTCCACCAGGTTTCCCTCAACCCCAAATACTGCTTTGATTAAGTATATTCTGTGGCCAAGTGGGATGGGAGTTTTGGGTCTGAATGGGCTCTAAAATGGGTTGTGTGAACTCCCTCTTCTCTCTGGAGCTTCCAACTCTGGCAGATAATGTAGCTGGAACTTCTCAAAGATAGAGTTTCTGGCACTACAGCCCCACATGTCCCCCGGGTGTCTCTTCCCCTCTGGTCACAGCTGTAACTGGCACACTAGCTGGGTATCAGAGATGTGTGGAGAGCTGCATCTGCGTGGGACTGACGTCTGTGTGGCTGCCTACTGGTCAATACAGCAGGGAGGGAGCCAGAACCCAAGACTCAGGTGCATCAGAGAAAAGGCCACCACTCCTCCAGCCAGAGGTAGAAAGCATTTACTCTGGAGAATCTGGTGAACCCCCAAAACAAGTTACATGTGGGTAAGGGAAGGAGAGGTAGTGGCTGAACAGTCTAAGACACCTGGGCACAAATAGAGGGTCCCAAGGAAGCAGCTGGAGGAGAAGATCACCCGGTGCTCTGGGAAACTGGCAGTAATGCGAGGGCAAAGTTTGGCTGTAAACCTAGCTTCCGAGGAGTAGGGATCGGAGGAAGAGGACTCAAATATTGCACAAAGGGTCCCGACTGAATTTGAGGGCTACCAGTCTCTTGAGACAAAGTACAACAGCTTTAGACCCTTTGAACAGAAAGCCGACCGTGAGCATGATTAAAGACTTAGGTAACGGCCACATTAGAGACCTTTGGGCACTTCTAGTCCTGAGTGGGTTAGCAGCTCTCCATCCCAGAGGGCAAAAGCCGGCGTCACTGGGCCCCGGAAATCTGTCTGAAGCGTGTGGACCACAGAGATCTGACTCACATCCACCAGACACAGCTTCTTTGCCTCATAGTCCAGCAGCAGCCCCACTTTCTCCGGATGCCCAATCCCCTCAATCGGGGCTTTCTCGTTAGCCAACATACTGTGCCACTTGCGCTGGGCATAGGAGAACACCCAGGAACGATCATCAGCCCCGACGCAGCTGTCCCGGGACATGTCCACATCTGCCACTCCTATCCGGAACTGCTGAGAGCGCTTCACCGTCACCTCCCAGTAGTGTCTGCCACCGGTGACTGTGGCGTCTGCGAGCACCACTGCCCACTCTCGGAAGCGCTCCACGTTCAGGGCCACCCTGGTGGGTTCCAATCCCACCAAGCCGTATTTGACACCCGTGTCGCCTCTGAAGAGTGCCAGGCTGCTGTGGGCAGTTTTTTCTTCCAGTTTGAAACTGATGCCTGAGGGCAGAGCACAAATAAATAAATAAATAAATAAATAAATAAATAAATAAAACAAAAAGGGAATGGGTAGTGACAGGTTAGAACCTAGGGCTGGTTTTGATCTGAAGCAGTCGGGCGATGATGGGAAAACGGTTAAAGTCAAACGTTAAGATGGAAAGAGTAGAGATGTGGCTTTAATATAACAGCCCCGGGAGCCGCAAATCACGGCCGTGGGATGAGGGAAGCCACCGACTGGTGCCCCAAGTTTGAAATCTAGACCAAGGCAGACTTGGGGGGGGCGGGGGTGGAGATGAGGAATGGGGTTCTCTGAGCGCGCTCTGGAAATAACACGTTAACTACTACTTTGGCGTGAAAGAATAACAAGAAAGAACGCTACCTCTCCGGGCTACCCCGGCAGGGACCCCCCATCGCTTGGCTCCCCAGCGGCACAAGCTCCAGCAACGTGCGGAGGGCAGCGCCATCTTGTGCCCCCAGAAGCACAGGGCACGCCCCCCGGCGGGAGACCGACCAATGGCTGGCCTGCGTTCGGAGCACGTGGTGCGAGCGCGCTTGCGTCTGCCCTGCCGTGCGGTTTGTGGTCTTGGTAGGCTGTGCCTAGTTTCCTTATGGAGAGACTGTAGGTCCTGTCTCACCTAAGTAGGACCTCCAGAGATTTCGTAACCAGAGTCTGTCGTGTGTTTGTTTGGTTTTGAGGCAGGATCTTCTGTAGCCTGGGCTGGCCTGGAAGTCACTCTGTAGACCAAGCTGGCCTCGACCTCATAGAGACCTTTGCCTCTGCCTCCCGAGTGCTGGGATTAAAGGCTTGCACCACCACCGCCCGGCATAAATAGTTTAAGCGCACTACTTTAACCCCAGCACTCGGGAGGCAGAGGCAAAGGAATCTCTGTGAGTTTGAGACCAGCCTGGTCTACAGAGCGAGTTCCAGGACAGCCAGAGCTACACAGACGCTGTCTCGAACTCCCCTCGCCCCCCAGATGCACACACGTATATACACACACAGTTTAAAAAAAAAACAAAACACTTAAATCTCTGTCTACTACATGCTTACTGCTTTCATGTCTTTTGTCTATCTTGAGACAGTATTACTGTGTAGCCTTTGCTGGCCTCGGACGCCAGATCCTCCTGTCTTAACTTCCCAAGTTATACTCATTTTTGCTACTATTACTACCACTATTAATTATTATTATTATAATAGGGTCTCACTATCCACAGAGATCGGACTGTCTCTGTCTGCCGAGTGCTGGAATTAACAACATGGCTCGTGCTCATTATTTTTTAAAGAATAAATGAACTTGGAGGGGATTTTTATTTTTTATTTTTTGAGTGTAGTGACTCATTCTCTCCACCAGGGTTCAGTCAGGCGTAGCTTTTTCCATCCACGTCATGTGAGAGATATAGTTTGTTGACATTTTTTCTAATTACAAAGCTGCTTTTAATACTTTGAGGTGTGCCCCCAGGAATAAAAAACGGGGAAAGGGTAACCTCACCTCCAGGAGTGGCCCAGGAGGAGATAAAGGAAGCTTGAAAGAGACCCCCTGCAGACTGGGTGAAAGGAAAGTCCATAGATGTTAGGACCTGTGAGCGCTACTGGGAGAAACGGCTGCGTGGTGCGGCTGGCTCCTGGCACATAGGAAAAGGGCAAGAAGATTGATCGAGCTGCTTAGGTTCCTTCTTGTTTTCTTCCTTCTGCTTCGGCTGTGCGACCTCCGAGTCGCTCCGCCTGCCCATCATCGAATCGCTTTCCCTTAACCAGGTCCCTCTGCTCCTTCTTGTTCACGGCGGGCTCACGCTTGGTTACCGCGGTCCCGTCAGAGCCTTCTGGTTTGTTGACTTTTCAATTCTAGGAGCAAAAATGGGGAGGGAAATCCTGCCCTGCTTTGCTAATCCTTTGGATTCGGGTAGTGATGAGAGAACTGTTTCCGAACTGGGTCCCTTCCTTGCCCTCCCCTCCCCTTTTTTTCTTTCCTTTCTCCCCATCCTCTCTTTCTGTTTTATCAAGACCACTGGGCCTTTTTTTTTTTTTTTTTTTTTTTTTTTTTTTTTTTTTTTTTTTTTTTTTGGTTTTTCGAGACAGGGTTTCTCTGTGGTTTTGGAGCCTGTCCTGGAACTAGCTCTTGTAGACCAGGCTGGTCTCGAACTCACAGAGATCCGCCTGCCTCTGCCTCCCGAGTGCTGGGATTAAAGGCGTGCGCCACCACCGCCCGGCCCTTTTTTTTTTTTTTACATATGTTTTGTTTGTTTGTTTATTTTAATTTGGAGACAAGGTCTCACTAAATTGGCTTTGGAACTCACCTGCAGCCTAGGCAGTATTTGAACTCTGGGTCCTCCTGGCGCAGCCTCCGGAGTAGCTGGGATTATTAGGTTTGTACTGCCAGGCCTAATATACCCCCGTTATTTTATGCTCATTCAGGGATTAGCTTTACCTGTCATTTCTTATTTTATTTTTCCCATCAAATAAACTTACCTTCATAATTCAGATGATTTATCTGCCTTATTGTTTTTGTTATTTTGGTTTAGTTTTGTTGTTTTTTTTTTCAAGACAGGGTCTTTCTGTGTTGCCCTGGCTGCTGGAACTAGCTCTGTAGACCAGGCTGGCCTCGAACTCAGAGTTCTATCTGCCTCTGCCTCCCAAGTGCTGGAATTAAAGGCATATGCCACCACTGCCGGGTGCATCAAACAATCACTTCTTAATATTTACGAGCATCCTAATGGGTAAAATATAGAATTTTGCCTGACAAAGAGGGCAAGGCATTTTCGGTGGGTGGGAGCTTAAGCCAAAGCACCGGGTTATAAACAGAATGGAGTACGTCAGGAACCATCAGGAACACGGTATCGCCAGAGTGTGGAGCTGAGAAGATGGGAGGATACTGTGCACCCCAGACTGCCCTCCTGTTCCTCCCAAGCACTCTCAACCTGCCGTCCTCCCTGTTTCATCTCTCCCTCCTCCGCTTCCTCCTCGTTTATGACCCACTGAGTCCCCTTACTGCTGCCTGTTGAACCGCTAACTGACCTTGTTGGCCTGGTCCTGTGTAGGTAACCACAGCCGCAGGGAGTGTGTGAATTCAAAGACTACATCCTGTCCAGAAGATGGCGCAGCTCCCCTCCCTGCCCTCTAGCTCTTGTTCTCTGCCTCCTCTGACGTGAGGGTCCTGGACCTTGAGTGGGAGTGGATACTGTACCCTTGGCATGTCCTTTTTTTAAGACAACAATAGAAGTTTCCCTCCCAGGTTTTTTACTTCCCCAGGAGTGGGCTTTTTTTTTTTATTATAGAGTATATATTTATTATGTATACAGTGTTCTGTCTGCCTGTATGCCTTGGCATCAGATCTCATTACAGATGGTTGTGAGCCACCATATGGTTGCTGGGAATTGAACTCAGGACCTCTGAAAGAGCAGCCAGTGCTCTTAACCTCCGAGCCATCTCTCCAACCTGCAGTCATGGGCTTTTGCCCTGGTTTGCAGTACTAGGCATGCCTTTGCTCCTATGAAGCAGGCCTCAAATCCAATCCCAAAGTAGTTGGTTGCCCCATGCATTCACGCCACTGTGGCACCAGAGGGCCTGGCAGG